TTTTAAAGGATGTAAAAAGCCACTTTAAAACATTCCTGCAGATAGCAACAATGGATGATTCAATTATCAAACACTATTTAACATCATACAAAAATTATGATAAAAGTTAATAAAACCATTTGGTATATTGCCTCAGTCATATTAAATAAATCATGCATAACCCTTACACTGTGTGCAATTAACAGCTATTTAACAATTTTTGTATGTATTTTCCTTTCTCATTTGATCTAATAGGTTCACCTTCCTAGGTTCACACAGCATGTTAATGGCAGAGCCAGGACTTGAATCCAGGTATTCTGACTGTAGCTCAAGTGTTCTGTATTTATAGCTGCCTTGCTATTTTAGACAAAGACAGTCTATCAAAATTCAGTGTGTAGCAGAAAGTTGGTTGGTTTTTATTTTGTTCAATGTATTTCTCCTTTATTTATTAGAGAAAAGTTATTTCAATAATTACAAAATAGTTATCAATTTGAATATTTTAAAGGTTTTGATCTTGGTTAACTTACCCTTATCAAATATTAAGCCCAAATTACAAAACCGTTAAAAAATATGAAGGCCAAATTTGATTAGAAGTTTTTTCTTAGATGCCTGCTAATTATTTCTCATAATAAGCTAGTTTTCTTCCAAAAACTACACTATTATTTCGATTTGATGAAAATTTGTTCCTGATGGAGGAAAACTGGATTCAGAAGATAGAAAAATTAAGTTAATCAATCCTCTGACATTGTAATGATAAACATTTAATTCAGAATTTTCTGAAAAAAAAAATAGCAGAGTATATCTAGGGATTCAGATTACATGCAAACAAATTTACAGTCTTCCAAATTGTATTATTTGTCTTTTGAGACTGAGAAAATCTCATTGGATATTCAGTAGTTCACAGAATTTTTCATATATTAATGAAGGAAAAAATTAACACAAGGAAAGATCCAGTATAATACCAAACATTATAAAACAGAAAAGATCCATCATCTATCAACTTTCTAGCTACACGTAATTCAAACATCAAAAGCTAGGTGTCAAGTTGTATTATATGTAAACTCAAAACCATTTGGAGATTTGGAGAAACTTCCAAATTGCATTGCTTTCAGAAAGCTAAAATCCATGACTATTTAACACAATTTACCTTCTGTGTCACTCACGTTATATAACAAATAGAATCACTTTGCTTTCATTCCTTATCAAGTAACCTGCTCTATAGCACAGCTGTCAGAGATTGGCAGGCTGCTTTTCTAATGGCCTGATTAAGGGAAACAAGAATTTCCCATACGGAAGCTTTTGGAAGCCTTTTATTACTCTCTCTATATATTACTATATTTTTATTACTAAATATATATAAAACAAATTCTACATTTATTAAAACTATAAATTCCAGGTTTGACTGGTATTCCAGTTGGAAAGAAAGAGAAAATATCAAGGTTTCTACATATTCCTTTTTTTTTTTTTTTTTTTTTTTGAGACGGAGTCTCGCTCTGTCGCCCTGGTTGGAGTGCAGTGGCGCTATCTCGGCACTGCAAGCTCCGCCTTCCGGGTTCACGCCATTCTCCTGCCTTAGCCTCCCAGGTAGCTGGGACTACAGGCGCCCGCCACTTCGCCCGGCTAGTTTTTTGTATTTTTAGTAGAGACGGGGTTTCACCGTGTTAGCCAGGATGGTCTCGATCTCCTGACCTCGTGATCCGCCCGTCTCGGCCTCCCAAAGTGCTGGGATTACAGGTGTGAGCCACCGCGCCTGGCCCTACATATTCTTAATTATGGGGAATGGAATGCAGCTATGATTATCTGCTTCAAGCTTCTACTAACTACATGTTTTCAAAATGCTCAATGACAAAAAACAAGTAAATATATTTGCTTAAAGCTAAAAATGTTCAAAGAATGCATTTTTTGTAAAACAATGAAAAAAATCACTAGCATCTGTGACATTATGAAGGTAAGTAGAATGGTACAAAGTTCCTGTCAGACTAATAACTGGAAAAGATGTCCAAGAGTGCCACCTTGAGGGATAATTTAGGACAATGCATTTTGAAAACAAAATTGGCATAAAGGGTTTCAATGTTGCCCATCACAGTTACCCCAACTAAAGAGCATCACTGTAAATTTATAAAAATTTATAAATTTTTATGTGAAGAGATAAGCGTGGTGTTTCAACTCAGATCCTATTATATTCTTCTGTCTTTTCAAATACAGTATTCCACATGTATTTCATTCCAATGTGCCTCCTGGATGAGATATTTTAATGGAGAAGGGTATTCTTAAGGAGTCATTGGTATGTGAAGAAAGGATTCCTCTCTTTTTTCTACGTTTTCTGGTGGTTCCTTTCTCTGTCTTCAGTCTTCCTACTTACTCTCTTCCTTCTTTTCCTAGCAATACCCCTAAAGTTCTCATGCTTACAATCCCCAGAAATACTTGTGCTTATGTGCACACAGGCAGTGTGTGGGGTATGTGTGGGGGATATGGTTGGAGAGCTGAGGGAACAGAATATGACATTCTCATATGCTCTTAAAATATTAATGACCAATTAGCTTTAATGTGTTACTTTTCCTTGCATTACTGCATTTTATGATACATTTCCCTGCATTTCAAAGAACAAAATTTATGACCAAGACACAGATTTCTAGATGTGGCTAAAAACTACTGACTTAGATCAAGATCATCCCCTCCTATGGCTCTCCACAGCCCAGGGCCTGTTTATACCTCTGAAACCTTACAATGTATCTGGCCCAAAGACCCAATGTATACATTACACACACACACACACACACACACACACACACACAGAGAGTGAAGATTCTAGGTCAAGCTAGGTTTCTTCATCTAAATTTGATTTCTTCACTAGACCTTTGGAGAGTGATAGGGTTGCAAGGAAAATATAAAAATTACATAGAACAGTACTCACTGAGAAAGACTGATAGTGTACCTGTTACAGCTCATGAAACGTTTCTCCTAACACTGCATCTCTCCTCCTGGCTTCAAACCCTTTCAGGCCAAATATTTTAGGGAGGTCTCCCAAACTCCTCATGTTTCTGATGGAGAGCAACCTTCTCTCTGGCTTCTGCATCACTTACAACAGGATCTACAGAAGAGTGGAGGGCCTGTCTCACAGAGCCATTCTTCTGGTTTTAACTGAAACCTGGCTATCATCTCTAAATAACTATTTTTCTCTCCACACCCATTTATCTGTGGGTCTGTGTGTGGGGCATGTGATTTCCTTGCTCCTCACTGTATAAAGCAGAGCACTGCTCTTACTTTCTTCCTAAAAATAACCTCAGTTCTTTGGATGCACAGGTCATCAGATGATGCAAGTTTAGCAGGAATCAGTATAGCACCCTGGTTAAGAGGGCATGTTCTGGAGCCACACTTCTTGTTTGTAAGCTGTTTCAATTCCCTATGACTTATTTTCCTTGTCAGCAAAAATGGGGATCATAATAGCATTTGCCTTAGGGCATCTCTATGAGGCTTAAATAAATTCATGTTCAATATTTAGACTGGTGCCTGTCACACAGCACTTCAAAAGTGTTGGCCACCGTCACCACCTGCTTCTCAACTATATGGTAGTTTACTGTGTAATTTGTTTGCATCACATTATTCTGCCTGAAATGCTTTCTGCAGTGTCTCCACAGGTTTCCATACGAATAATTTCCAATGTGAATTTCTCCATGAAGTATGTCTTTGTCCCTTCAGCCAGATGTGATTTCTATTCTCATGTAAACACCCTAGCTCTTATATTTCTCCTCAGTGATAATCATATTGTACTTTGCATTAGTTAGCCCCCATTAGGTGAGTTCATCTTGTCTGGAGTAGATCACTTTTGTGTTTCTTGATACCATTTTTTTCACACAAGGTACCCTCAAGTTGTCTTTGCATTTAATAACAAATACTATGACAGACTTTGTTAAAGGACCATATTAGAAGTTGATACGGTTTGGCTGTGTCCCCAACCAAATCTCATCTTGAATTTTAGCTCCCATAATTCCCAGGTGTCTTGGGAGGGACTCAGTGGGAGGTAACTGAATCATATGGGCGGGTCTTCCCATACTGTTCTCCTGGTAGTGAATAAGTCTCAGGAGAGCCAATTGTTTTATAAATGGGAGCTGTCCTGCATAAGCATTCTCTTTGCCTGCCACCATGTAAAATGTGACTTTGCTCCTCCTTCACCTTCTGCCATGATTGTGAGGCCTCCCCAGCCATGTGGAACTATGCGTCGATTAAACCTCTTTCCTTTATAAATTACCCAGTCTCGGGTGTGTCTTTGCTCAAAGCATGAGAATGGGCTAATACAAAAGTCCATATTCCAAAAACTTACTCTTCCCACCTAAACTATTTTCAGGAACCCTCCCTTTTAGTTTCTCAAAACCAAAAGTAACACCCACAGCTTCCTTATCTAATAAACAGAAAGACTACACATAACACATGTTAACTACAATCAAGACAAGGTTCCTAGGCAGGTCATGGCAGAGGAGCTTTTATTATATTAGCTTTCCAGTAGACTGACTCATTTAAAAAGGGAAAAAAATCTTTTTGGAAACACTGAAGAGGAAAGAAAAGAAGGCAGGAACTGGATGGACTCAGTTGAAAGATCTCATTGGGTGAGAACCATGTTTATATGGTTTTTCCCCCAGAGGGCACTCCCTAGTTAGAAAGGTGCAATATGATTGGTTTGAGGTGTGAGAGGACGGAATTCAGGACTGCTAGAGTAGCTGTAAATTAGGAGAAATCTCAGAAAAGAGGGAGTCGCAGAAGAAGGGAATTCTAAAATCTGTGTATAAGTCCTGGGTTGACCTCTGAGCTGCATATGATGGGAGAAACTCTAAGACACCCAATGGAAGGTAAGAGCTGGAAGTCTGCGAACACAGAGACCACTTTCTTTTTTTCACCACAAGACCCAAAGTCTGGGGCTTGAACCCTGCCAAGTTAGATGTGTTTGGTAAATACTCTTAGCTTCCTACAGACGTAGCCTAACAAAGAAACCCAACCCCGACAAGTTCAAGGTGATCAGCCAGTAATTTAACTGCTTTCTATTATTATGAGAATAAAAGGAAGATTATACAGACACCCAGGCTAGTTATGAGCACATAGCACAGGCATTTAAAAAGATATGGTTCTATTTTAAAATGACTAATAAAGCTTAGGATTAGGGATGTGGTAGACAGGGGAAAATGGCTAACAGGACAGTGTGAGGGAAATACAAAGCTTTTAATACTTGGTTTAGGATAAGAAAATGTGTTAAATAGATACAATACATTTTAAAACATTATCAAACATGAATTTATTTACAAACAAAATAAAAACATGCTATTTGAACAAACTTTTTTATAAAGAATAAGTTGACAGAAAAGCAGTTTTACACAACATGAACTCACAAATGACTTTTAGAAGTCAAATAAACATTTCCATTTTAGGGAACAGTATCTAATAAAATATATAACTTAAAAGCATATGGAACACATATTCATACATTCTTAAAAATGAAATTGTTATTCCACCGAGAATTTGTCAAAAATCTAAAGTATGTCATGTTTAACCAACAATTTGCTTCTAAATAGGAGTCTCTTTTGAGAAGCTAAATATTAATTTTCAAACAACTATTTCTCCGTTTGGTAACTGGAATCATTCTTATTAAAACAAAGGTCTTTATGTCAATGTATATTAATATGGCTGAAGGCTCCAGCCCTGAGTTATTTTGTTTTTTACTTCCTTAAATTCGTATTTACAACATATATCAATTTGAGGGATGATGACAAAAACAGAAACAGAAGACAAAATGGTAGAGGAGAGTCTGTCTCCCTGTGGAAGAGGCAAAATTACTGTGGACTTCATTTTCCTGACCTATAAAACTAGGAAGTATAATCACATTATTTGTGACAATTTTTCTTTCTAAAATGCCATGAATTTGAAGGTAGACTTCATGCCTTTCTCGTTCATATCAATAGAGTTAAGAATATTGATTTTGGAGTCAGGCTGCCTGGTTATGAATCCCAGCTCAGACAGTTATTTTGTAATCTTGGAAAAAATACTTCACCTCTCTCTACTATGTTTCCCCATGTGTACACTACTGATCTCATAGAGTTGTTATGAGACTAGCATGGGTAAATCACTTTAAAACAGTGGCTCATACAATGTTACACGAGTTTTCAAATGAGACATCATCACTCATTGTTTGTGGGAAAAGATTCTGACTATGTCATATGAATGAAGTATGCCACATGAAAAGATCATATCATATGGGAAGATATATTAGGTTAAATCATCTAATATGTGATTACAAAACACAAAAGTGAGGGTTTTTTTTTTTTTAAATTTACCTTAGCTTCATACAACTCAGGAAACATCTGAATAACATGATGATAAATAGATATAAATGATTATAAATCTTTGTGGTTAAATACAACAAAACACTATAAAAGAGTTTAATTCAGACAAATAAAAATTTAATTACATTTGGAAATGTAGCACAGTATCTCCACCTAGTGGACATCACCTTAAAAATTTTTACAGATAGTGCGCAGCCTTTTTTTTTTTTTTTAATCACTGGGGGAAAGCTTTTCAAATAGAAGTACATTACTTTCACTAATGTAGAGGGATAAAAAATAGAAAATAAGTTAAATACTATATTACCAGTGCTCCAAAACATCATCGCTAAAATACCTTTTACTAAGTTGTATAACTCAAATGTTTTTCTAAAACAGGGTAATATAAATAGTAGTTTTGGTTTAGAAACTTAAAATATACCAGAGACAGCAGTAAGTCATCAGAAATACTTGACCATGACACAGCAATTAATTTTTAAAAATTAGCTGTAACAAAATTAAGAATTTAAAAATCACAGAGCTTTAAAGATGTCAGATATCTTCAAAAGACATTTTACCTACTTGCTATCTAACTCTCCTGAAGCATCTTTAATAAATAAAAATCTTATCTCCAATGAATGAGAATTTTACTTTTTTTCTGGGCTTGTTTTCCTAAAAACACTAAACAATTAGAAAAGGTATGCTTTTCATGATTTGCAATCTAATTGTTGACCTCTGATTTACAGTTCAGGCAATACAGAATTAAGTTCAATCTTTCAAATAATTATTCTTCAAGAGAGCTTATCAAGTGATAGAATCTCCACTTATCCAAATTAAACATCCCACATACTTTTAGCCATTTTTCTTACAACAAAATTATAAGGAGTTATCATGTTGTTCATGCTCTTTTGAACAGTTTGTAGCATTTTAAAAAATGACTATATCCAGCATAAAAATAAGCCATGAATGGTCTGGAAACTGCAGACAGCAAACATGGATTATCACCTCTCTTTCCATATACTGCTTCGTTTAATTTAAAAAATTAGTTAAAAAAAAATTCTCATGGTGAGGCAGAATATGATGGTCAAAAACTCACAGGCTTGGGAGTCATACCAATCTATGTTCATTTAGTGACAGTGTGGACTTTGGGCAAATCACCTGACCTGCCTGCCCTTCAGTTTCTTGAGCAGTCAAATAGAAATCAGTATCTACCTCATAGAAATATAAACGTAGCATCAAATGAGACAATATTTGTAAGTCAGCTAGTATAATGACTAAAACATTACAGGTGTTCAATGATTGATGGCAACCATCGTTATTACTTTTCCTCCCTTTTTCATCTTGTATATGCCATATACACACATATATGGTTCACCTAAGCTGAATTAAGTTTCACTGTGAAAAACCAATACATTTAATATTTTTCTTATTGGAAACTGGCACAGTGGCTCATGGTGAATTCTAGCACTTTGGGAGGCCAAGGTGGGAGGATCACTTGAGGCAGGTGTTCGAGACCAGCCCACACATCATAGTGACACCCTGTCTCGATTCTTATATAAAAAAAAAGAAATTATATGTATATACACACATATACATTTGTATATATAAATACATATGTATGTATTTTCTTTTCCTTGTTAGAAAAATACTGTATCTTCTTTTGGTCTGATGGTGATAGGCTGAGATAAAATTTAATTAACATTAAATTCATCAAAAATTTCTCTCTTAAAAAAGCACAATATACAGATATTATATTGTGACAAAATTTCTCACCCTAGAAATAATTTTTCAAATCTCAAATATTAAATATTAGTGTTGACTCATGGATATATGTTAAAAATATATCCTCAATCTCTATTTTCATTATAATTTTCTCAGTTACACAAGTTTTTATATATTGGAAACGTCAGTTGTCAACATTAAATACACAAAAATACCCTATATAAAAAATAATTAACAGCTATTCCTAGAGTGGTAGAATGTTGCCCAACTAAAAAAAACAAAGTATTTGTAATTAGTTGAAATGTCTTTTACCTTTAAATTCTTTAACCTGTTACTGGTTGAAGGTTACTGATTTTTCTTAAATAAAAAGCAATTATTTTGAAATTATACCCTATTAAAGAAACTTTCCCTTTAAGGTCTTATAACCTCTTAATGGTTGAAAGTTATTTATTTTTCTTATTTTAAATAAACAGTAATTATGTTGAAATCATATCCTATCAAATAAACAACATATTTACAACATATTTACATATATAAGCATTAAACACTAGCAGGGGTCTCCAATCTTGTGGCTTCCCTGGGCCACACTGGAAGAACTGTCTTGGGCCACACATAAAATACACCAACACTAATGATAGCTGATGAGCTAAAATAAAAATTAAAAAAAAAAAAATCACATAAAATCTCATGTTTTAAGAAAGTTTACAAATTTGTGTTGGGGCCGCCTTCAAAAACATCCTGGGCTGCATGTGGCCTGTGGGTTGAACAAGCTTGCACTAAAGCAAATAAAAATTTTTAACACTGGGTCAGAAAATTAGGCAGAAAAATGTTTAGGATGACTCTTATTATGAAACACTATTTACTTCCTAAAATTAGCCATGGTTATATATGATATTTTTTCTATTCACTTCACTCTATACTAAAAACTTCACTCAGTATATATTTACTCAATATTTATCATATGACATATTATGAGTATATGGCAGGATGAATCCTTTTTAATATAAGGTTATATACATACCAATCAGACACTGACTAGAGTTAGGACAAATACTATTGTCATCTGAAATGAGGACTAAAGACTAAACCACTTGCCTTATTGATACCAGAGCCACAACCAAATATAAAAATCTTAACCCCCATGTTAAATGTTTTTTTCTACAAGCCCATTGGATCCTAAGTCATATTTAAATTTCCATTTAAAATTTTTCAAATTTATATCACAATTCTTACTTGTCTCGCTTTTTAATGAAATTCCAATTACTTCAAAGATAATAAATGCTTGCTAATTAATAAACACAAAATGTATTTCTTCATATGAATAAATATTTTATTTAAAAGTGAGTCTAAAATAACAGTCCACTATTTAGGCGGTATAAATAAAAATGGTAGATCCCTTCCTCTCTCCTCTCTTCCAACAATTCTAAGGAAAATAATATCAAGCCAAGCGGCAATTAAGTTCAAACTAGAAATGCATTTCATTAAGCCATGTATTTATTATAAATAAATTACATTAGGCTATTTATAAAAGGTATTTTATGACTGGCTATGCACATTTCAGAAATAACTCTAAGAAGACAAAGAAAAGGCAACACAGCTAAAATAATTTATCTTGCCAAAATGAGATGCTATGTTTAAACTGAGAGATACTATCTTTCCAAACATTTACATACAGTCAGACACAGTTCAAAAGATTTCTGACTATCCATTAATGGAAAACATAAACGTAACAAAATTCACAGCATACCTGAATCTTACTAATGCTACCTAAAGATAACATATCTCTAGAATTTCACAGACGATAGAATCAGTTGAAAATGACGTATTACTGAACCTATAATGATTTATGGACTAGATCTTTTTACGACACTTTTCAAAATAGACATACTCACAGATTTTCGTAATGGTTAACTGTAGGGCTCCACATACCCTTGAGCAGGGCAGTACTTTTTTTCATAATCACCTTATTTTAATCAATTCAGCTAAGTCTAATGTTTAAAAATTCATGAAAAAAAATCTACTCAATAACTCTTGAAAACACAAATATAACTAAGAATGTTTCTAAAAGCAAGGATCTAAACACTTAAGAATGGTCTTGTCAATTGTTTCAAGTGAATGACTTTGAGTTTGGTATCATTTCTTGAACAACTAAAGGCAAAATGGTCTGTTGTGCCAAGTTCTTATATAATCATTTTATCTGTTACCTGCTTTGGAAAATTCACCAGCAAATGGCCATCTTTGAACTACCTAGAAAATTTAACCAAGACATTTATCTTAAATTCAAAAGTATTGATAAGCATTCTTATTTTAAAATAATAAATAGTTGAAAATAGCACCTTTTAATACATGGCAATCTTTTCTTAAAATGCCAAGTACTATATTTCATGTATTTTATAACAAATGTGGAAGATTGTTTCTCTCTGAATGTAGATTTTCAACAAAACATCTCTTAAAACAGCAGGGACTCAACACTTAAAAATGAACTAGAACAGCAGGGCACAGTGGCTCACGCCTGTAATCCCAGCACTTTGGGAGGCTGAGGCGGGTGGATCACCTGAGGTCAGGAGTTTGAGACCAGCCTGGCCAACATGGTGAAACCCCGTCTCGACTAAAAATAGAAAAAATTAGCCAGGTGTGGTGGCGGGCTCCTGTAATCCCAGCTACTCGGGAGGCTGAGGCAGGAGAATCGTTTGAACCCGGGAAGCGGAGGTTTCAGTGAGCCAAGATCACGCCATTGCACTCCAGCCTGGGGGACAAGAGCGAGACTTCCCCTCAAAAAAAAAAAAAAAAAAAAAAAAAGATCTAGAACAGTGATCCCTTCAAAGAGCAGTCTTCTTTAATTATAGGGTAGAATATTTTCTTCAATTTTGCCAGACTAGATCAGAGTGGAAGCTTCTCCTCTCAGAAGTATTCCTATATACAAAATCCTTGCATTAATATTATCAGACAAAAGGTTATTTTCCCTAAATTACACATTCCTTTTCAATTTTGACTTCCTGGATTTAGTTCTCCATTATAGTAAATTAATGACAAAAGTATAATTTCTTTGAGTGTCCTCTCTCATCTAATTTTTAAAAAGTCTGGATTAAAAACGTTTTTCTATAATCACTGTTATAACTAATGCCAATCTATTTTCTGGGTGCTAGAGTATAACCCAAAAATGGTCTGTATTTATCATTCAAATTATATTTGTAATTTTCACCTGCACACAATTTTATATTTGTAAATGTAGAATCATTACTTAAAACTCAGAGAAGCAAAATTTGACATTGAGGAGAAAGTAATTTGTTCACTTATAGCTACTTTCAAAGTTTAGAAACATAAAATTATGTTAAAAGATGAGTTCTATTCATAGTTCTAAGTTTACATGTCAAAGTTAACATGCCCAAATAATACTTTCCTGTAATGGAATGACAACCCAAAAAATACACTCAAAATAATAAACACAAAATTCAAAAAGTAACACAAAATAATCCTACCCCGGCAGTTGTTCCCTAATCTACAAAATAAGGTCAGACCAAATGATTTCTCAACTTTCTTTCAATGCTGACTTTTTTTTTAAAATAGATAATGGAATCAAACACTAGTCACCTTTAGCTGTATATTACCTCAGAAGTCACTTATTTTTTAACCTCTCAGTAAAGATACTGGGAGTTATTTAAAAGGTAAGATATTATCTCTTGATCCAACAATCCCACTTCTGGGCATTTATCCAGAAGATTTGAAATCCGTATGTCAAAGAGAAGTCTGCACTCCACGTTCATTGCAGACAAGTCACAATAACCAAGTTATTCAATCAACCTTAAGTGTTCATCAGTGCATGAATGGATAAAGAAAATATGGCATATATACACAATAAAATACTATTCAGCCTTTAAAAAGGTAGAAATTGTGTCATTTGCAACAATATGGATGAACCTGGAGGACATTATGGTAAGTGAAGTAAGCCAAGCACAGAAACACAAATACCACATGATTTCACTTATTTGTGTAATCTAAAACAACTAAACTCAAAGAAGTAGAGAGAAGAATGATGGGTACTAGAGGCCAGGGATGTGGGAATAGGGAGATTATAATCAAAAGATACAAAGCCTCAATTAGACAGAAGGAATATGTTTGACTTTTTAAAGATCTATTATACAACACGGTGAATACAGCTAATAATTAAGCACTGTACATTTCAATACTGTTGAGAGTAAATTTCAAATGTTTTCATCACATGTCAAATATTAGCTTTATTTACTCATCCCACATTATATTCAAAAATAATAACGCCACTTTGTGCCTCATAAGTGTATACAACCATAATTTGATATATAACAAAAAAAAATTTAAAAAGGTAGTCTCCTAACAATCATTATGAGGATTATCCTAAAATGTCCTTTGGTAACTGTCATGGACTGAAAAGTATCCCAGGAAGAGACATGTCCACTCAGAACATGTGAATAAGAACTTACTTGGAACATGGGTCTTTGTAAACATAATTAAGGGGCTCCAGACACAATCATTGTAGATCAGAGTGGGCCCTACATTCAAAGACACTGTCCTCAAAAGGTAATGAAGAGAAAACAGAGGGAAAGGCTGTGTGAGCACAGAGGCAGACTGGAGTGAAGACTGCTGTCTGCAATACTTGGATAAGATTTGTCTATAAGCCAAAGAACTCCAAGAATTTCAGACAGCCACAAGATATTAGGAAACGGACATGGAACGGAGTCTTCCTTAGAGCCTCCATAAGGAACCAACTCTGCTGACACTTTGATTTTAGATTTCTGGCCTCCAGACTGTGAGGAAAATTGTTGTAAGCAATCAAGTTTGTGGTCGTTTGTTATGGCAGCCCTGGGAAGCTAATACAATATGTATTTCAGAAAGGAAATCCCTCTTTTAAAGGAGTATAATCATCAAAATTTGTCTTTGGCCATCATACATTTCATATTAGGAATTAGTGAAAGAGCTTCATCATTTCTAGATTGTAAACAATAACCAACAATTTGATGCCTAGACAGACATATATGAGTCTCTACTTTATCATTTACTATTTATGCATTTCTATTTTGACTTAGAATTAAAATTATATTTACTGAAATGTTAAGCAACTTTTCAATCAAGAATATCACCTGACCATTTGTAAATATTTGCTAATACATTGTTATTAGGTTGGTGCAAAAGTAATTGTGATTTTTGCCACTGAAAGTAATGGCAAAACTACAATTACTTTTGTACTAACCTAATATTTCTCTCTGAAGAGAATAAATTAGTTCCAGTAATATGAAGCATACCCAGTTTTAATAAACTTGTACATACAAAACATTCCCAAGCTTCTTGAGGGGCCAACATTATGAGAGCAATATGAGATATCTGAAAACAATTTTCCCATTATTGAGGCTTTTGAAGCAGGTCTTAAGCTTTCTCAGTTCTTTGCCACTTGATTTCTTACATATGTTATATATATATATATAATATATGTTATATATATATTAGTGTGTATATATATATATACACACTAATGTAATTTGAGGACCACCACTGCTCCTAAAAGAAATTCCATGATTTCTACCTATTCAGTTGTTCTTTGTAGAAATGGTCTAATTATTAAGTCCATTTTTACAGTTCAAAATATCACTGATATTACCACATAAACCTTTGAATGTCCTGACTGTTTGGCCACTGAAAAGTCTTGTTCAGAAAGAGGTAAAAAGTTATGAAATTAACAATTGCATAGCAACTCAGTTCACAAACGAGTCTGGATGTGGGAGGCAGAGGTATGTTAAGCCTATAAATGACATAAGGTAAAATGAAGTAACGAAATTCCAGCAGTTTCTGAGGAACTATAACAATGAACAAGCATATGAAAAACATTAAATTCCAAAAAACTGACTTTGATTTCAATGAGTCAGCTATACTCCAACCAGCAAATATATAGGCTGGAACTAACAAATATTTCACAATTTCGTATCTTTGAAAAACTCTTTTCCACACATAGAAAGTATAATGTCTATTGTCTGCTAGCAAGTATTTATGAGCATAAGTGAATTTCCAAACTAAAAACACAGAGACTAAGGTAACCACAAAAAACAGAATTCTACGTTTCCAAACTAAGGAAAGAAATGTCTTAATTTTGCCAGGAGACAGGAGATGAGGAAAGGAAAAGAAGAGAGTAAATGAAAAAAAGTAGAATAGTTGAGGAAAATGAAGACAGGCTTCATGACTACTCCGATCGCCAATAACAATTCCACCATTAACTACTACAAAAGCACAAAACAGAAATCCCAGAAGGATGTAGGGCCAAGTCAGACGGAAAAGCACACTCAAGTTTTTAAAGGACATGGAATAAGCCAAAAGAAACTGAAGAATTTTTCTGAATGTTACAAATGGTCCTTTAATAGGTGGAAGTCTGTCTTCCTTCTTTTGTAGCTCAGTTTTCCAAGCCTCAGTTAACTTTTGTGCAATGACATTTCCTGCACAGAAGACAGCCCAGATGATATTCGTTTGCCGAAACATGAAGCCACAAAATCCAAGGAAGGCTGAAGTTTTATGATTTCCATAAAGACACATCAAATACGCAAAAAGAGTAAAAAACATAGATCCTGCTTCTGTATAATAAAGGAAGTTAAAAAAATAAAGTGTTGGAAATACTGCTAGTGTTAATGTTGACAAGACTCTCTGGATACTTGAGGCAGCCTTGGAGGAAGAAAAAACACAGATAAAATTATTTTCATGATAAAAAATGCTATTTCTGTTTACCGAATGAAGAGATTTATTTAAAAACTACTCAACTACTCAAACCTTATTTAAATAAAATTAATATTAATCTTATCTCTGGCGTTGCAAAAGCACAATATACATTTATAAGAATACTTTCTGGTACTTTTTATTTATACCTATCAGTTTGGAGAACATGTGTGTGCCAAAGCTTCTGTAGCTTAACACATTTTGAATCAGGCAATGATTAATTAAGGAGTTACTGAGTGCAAGATACCGACTAAGTTCTATGGGGACTATGGAGATAAATAGGACACAGTGCTGGCTCCATTTCCCTGAGCTTATGTTTTAGTGCCTTCAATAAGGATTCACTTAGCCATAATCACCACTTTCCTTTAAGGAAATCCTTCATAACTCTACACAAGGTAGAATGTAAACATGCATATGGTATTTTTACTACTATACCCAGACTTACTTTTTCAAGATGAAATTTTCATGATGAAATAACAGGTATTTTTCTGAAAAGTGAGCCAGTCTAAAGTTCTATATCCTCTTTTGGCCTTTCTGACATGCTATTTCAGAATTTGAAAGTGTTCTTATGTTCTTGAATTGTATACTCTACTTAATCAAAATCACCAAATCAGATCATGCCATTTCCTTGACTAAAATTAAGGTCTCTCCATTACATGCTTAAGTTCAAAGTCCTCTTGGTGACATATAAAGGCATTCATGACCTTTTTCTCTAGTCTTACATCCCTCTACTTTCTAATCCTGTAATTCCAAGACCAATTCCCTGCACCTCATTGTTCAATGCCTTTCTTCCTTTGCTTATGCTGTTTGTCTCCTCAGGATTAATTCCCCACCCTACAGCCCTATCCGTTCATCAAGACTCAGCTCTGGTACCATCTTCTTTGTGTGGACTTACTGAATGCCACCTAGTCCCCTCCCTCCCAGAAAAGCAATAAGTGTTCCCCTGCTCCTTCTCTGTATCCTCATAGCATCTTATTTGTACCACTCTATCATAATTGGCACTACTAACATCATCTCTTATGGTTAAAAATAATCATTAGAGTTAATAATTACTGAGCCCTTACTATGTATCTGGCACTATTTGAAGCATCTTTCATTTATTAAGTTTCTTTGTTCCTTTATAACAGTTCTATAAGTTATTATTCTATTATTATTCTTATTTAATAGATGAAGATATGGAGCCACTAAGCGTTAACCTGCCCATGGTGGTAACAAAACTGCCAAGTGGCAGGGAGAGAATTCTAACCCAGGCAATCTACCTCCAGGGCCTGCACTGTTATCACATCAAAAGTCCTCAGGTAAAGTGTGTTTTCCCTAATGAATATATACATTTTACAAGAAAAAGACTGCCTCATTTATCTCTGTTGTCCCAGTGCCTAGCACATGGAATAAGCTTAGTAAGTACTTATTGAACTGGTTTGACTCACTTAACAAATATTTACTTTAGATTTTACAAATAAGCTATTCAAGTGTTTAAATGCAAATTTATTCTAAAATGGAGACGGAGGATTTATGTTTACCTTTACATAATATACAAAAATACAAAGTTACAAAGTGTTAAAGACATTTTTCACCAAATCTCATTAAACTAATTCATTGTAATTGTGGACCTGACTACACATAAACTTGTAATTAAGTATTTTGAAACATACCTTGTTTCTGGGTTGTACCTTGCGGAAAAGCAAATATAGTAAATAGAAGTTGCCAACACTGAAGAGAAGATTAACAAATCTGAGCATCCCAATGGAGCAGACAACATGTTCGGACCATCCAAAGATCCAAATGGCAGGTTTGACCACTCCAACTGACACCAGGTACAAGCCAGGTAATGTAGTAATCATGGGATCCCACTTTAAAATGAAAGGAAATGAAGTAAAAGCAAGAGGTAATATGAACAAGACAGACACAAACATGTCAAGCCCACGTCTCATCTCTAGCAACAATCAGAAATTTTGAGAAGTTATTCTGACAAGATTAAGTAAGTCCTTGGCAAAACAGGATTCGTTTTTCTTATATTTTGCCCCCGGACCAGCTTAGTGATTGTTCAGATAGCAGCAACCAACAGAAAACAACAACTTAAAATCTATTTCTATTTTCCAAGAAATGTTCTTTAAAAAGTCTTTATTTTGGTAAATAAGCTGCAAATGCTCCAGTTTTTAAAAGCATGGAAACACTGGTTGGGACTCTAAGTTTAGGAAAACATTTGGTCCACAGGCTCCATGATGACAGCTAACATAAACGGAGACAGAAATTGTGCCAAACCCTCTGTATTAACGTTACAATATGCCTTATAGTAAAGATTACTGTCATTTTGCAGATAGGTAACCTGAATTTCTGAAACTCAGAACATCTCCAAGATCACAAAAGTAGTAAATCACAGCACCATGATTTAAGATCAGATCTTTCTCTAAAACAGACTTTATATTTCTAGCCAGTACCCTATATTGTGTCACCAGAAAAGCAGGCGATGTTTATTTTGATATTTATATGTACATACTTGCACAGTCAAATATATATTCAAAAATGATGTGACTGGACTGGTTGCCAGTTTATCCAGTTAACAGATAGTTCACTAAAAATACTCAGGGAAGGAATTTCTGATTATAAATGGTCACTTTTTGGTAGCTGAAGATCCCTCCAGTCCATACTATCCCACCCCTAAAATGCATAGTGAGGTGCTTGACAGGTGAGCTAAAGGTAAGTTTTCTGGTATTTCCAAGGAGCACCGCAATACTCCCGAGACAAGGAAAGACAAAGTGGGATAGACATCGTCAGCTGCCAACAGGAGCGCTCAGTTCCCCATTAAGTATTCTCCCAGATCATTCCTTCCTGGGAGACATATCTACTGTTTATTCATTCATTTAATAAATATTTCACAGATCTCAGAGACAGGAACAAAATTATATACCCAGTTTCTTTCATGTTCTGGGGCTAGTGGGGTGGAACGGGACGAGTTAAGTCTAAGGATGGGAGAAGGAGCTGGGGACGCTGGGACCTCTCAGGCCTCTCCTGGGGTGGGGACAGGTTGGAGACCCCACCTGGGAAAGGGAGAAATGGCCCTCACAGTAGCGTTGCGCCTGAGGCAGGTGGAAGATCTCATCCATGTAGGGCTCTCGCAGCGCCCGGCTGAAGGCGGAGAAGAGGAGGCAAGACACTAAAAAGGTACAGCTCAAGGCAGCCGAGAAATAGTAACCCTCTAGCTGCGCCATTCCCGCTCCCACAGCCGCTGCCGAAGAACCCACTCCTGGAAACTTCTGAGCCCGGAAACCCGAGCTGGAAACTTGGGCTCGAAATGGGCGCGCTAGACGTGACTAGCCAGACGGGGCCACATACCGGAAGGCAAAGGATGCTGGGAAAGCGCGGATCCGGAAAGATCGGGTCGCTGTTTCCCGGAGTGACGGCTTTAGGTAACGGACCGGATGATTACCCTGTCAATCACATTGCCCGGGCGCACAGAGTGTTAAAACTTCCGGAAAGGGCGGGTCTCGGAATTTGCCTAAGCGGGGGGTGCGTGACTTGCTGCTTTGGAAAAAAAAAAAAAAAAAAAAAAAAAGCCGATTCTCAGCTTGGATCTTTTTTCCTGCTCATTTCCATCACTTACCAGAAGGTGGCGACGTTTCCCCACGTCTCCAATTCCAAGCCCTAAAATTTACACATTTTTCCCCCGTTACTTCTGTTCTTTTTATTAAACCCTCAATTCCACGACTTTTCATTCCATCAACTTTGGAGTGTAGGAAGGGGGCGTTGGTTGTGATAGCAAAGACTGAGACTTTCAGATGAAAACTTGAAGAACCAGAGACCCGTCAATGCCGAATGAACTTAAGTGAGAGGAGTGTTTGTTCGTTTGTTTGTTTAGGTTAAAAGAGAACTCTTTCAAAATGTGGATGCCCTCACAGGATTTAGTTAAACTGACATTCCTAAGGCACTCTCATAGCCATATCTCAGTACCCTGTGGGATTTGGGAAAAAAAAAAAAAAAATATATATATATATACATATATATATATTTAGAATTTGGGATGTTTTAGAATTCTCTGTGCCTGTAATATCTGTAAGGCAGTGTTCTGTTTTTCCTACTAAATCATAAGCGTGAACATCTTAGTGGGATTATATATCCTTTACGTTTGTAGTCCCCCAATGGCTTTCACACAGTAGGCACTTCAATTTGTGGACTTTTATAGGCTATATAGACATCATCAAATTCCTGTATTCTGGGATTAAGTGTTGGGAACAGGAGATGAGGTAAATAATTTGAAGAATGCCAAAGATAAATTATGTGTTGTAATTTTGTCTTGAGCATGGTTGGCCATGTTTTGCAGAAAAACTGTCTCTCAGGTAACCTCAGTCACGTTGCCTTTGGCAGGAATATATCAGAATTGAGTCAGGATTTAAGGTTGCTAACCTCAGAGTTCTCAATTGAGCTCTTTTTCTGGGTCAAAACTAATTCAGTCTTTCTGAACTTAAGAAAGTTTCTTAAATTAAGCTGACTGCCTTTCCATTCTGTCTCTGCCTGTTTCCTCAATGATAAGAGGAGGTAGTGGTGAATGAGGGCTAGGATGGGAACATTTACATTACTGGAATAAAATCATGTCAGGATCCTACTCTGATGTGATGCTTAGCTTTGTTTTAACCATTATCTCCCATTTTATTATTGAGTCCATGCTGTACTTACTGTTGAAGTCACTTGTAACACATCTCCAGATGATTCGGTCTTCAAGAGGTTGATGTGATCTACAAGTAATTAGCCCCTGACCTGTTGACCTGCTAAATCGTGTTATATATATACTCTGCAGCTTACTGACCCACCCTAGAAAAGTGGGTAGTTTTTAAAGGGAGTATAACAAGACTAGACATTTATGCTATCCATTTTTCTTCATAACAATTGCCACCAATAGTTTATGTTAAACATTTGACTCCTATACATGCTGCACACATCCCTTTATATAAAACGGAAAGTTTCAAGGAAATATGGGGTTTTAGAATTGCTAGGAATCTTTGTTAATAATCTACTTGAATTCATTTTGTAAAAGAAGCTGTTTTTTTAAAAAATGAAGGATTTACTTAAAATTACATAAAAAATTAGTGTCAGAATCAAGTGTAGGAATTAGAACATCAGACCAAGAGTAATACAATAACTTCATAGCCTTATAGTTTAAAATAATCTACAATGCATACTGTACTGAATGTTTCACTGGTCGCAATAACTTTACATTTACGTTCCACTCTCCTCTGTTTCCATACACCAAGTTGAAATATGAGTTTCATCTTTTAAAAAAAAGTTGATCTTACAGACTAATTACATGAAAATTTGCTGGGGGATCATTGTGAAAAACTAGATTCTAGAGTGCCATCTCAAATCACTGAATAATAATCTTCATATTTGGAAACCATTGATGTAAAACATATTACCTAAGAATGCTAAGAAGCTCCATGGGCCCAGTAGAGTTCTTCGTAGCGTACTTCACTCATTTGTTAGTGAATTACTTTTACTATCTGCAAATCAATGAAGTTGTTGTCGCTTTTCTACTCTTAGATTATCACATCTTTGATAATTTTGAAATGCTTTCCAAAGCTCTGCTCCTAAATCAAGACCTATTAAAATAGCTACCTCTGCGGTTTTAATGAAATAGATTACATTTTATTAGACTTATCATTTAAAACTAGCTCAGCATTAATTTCAACTTATATTTTCCATTCAGAATTCCAAATCCCATTTTCCGTAGATATTTATTTTGTGAAAAAGAGTCATTAGGATGAGCAATCCCATTATCATTGAACATCAACTATTTATTTGTGCTACTTGAATTATGATAAGTTATGGCAGAAAAATGGGCAATTTCTGTTGGGGTTCTAAGGATAGGTGGTTTTAGCAAGAAATAAATCTTTTTTGGTTTATAAGCCATTAAGATTTTGACTTTATTTCTCCTGTATAACCTAACTTACTTTGATCAATTAAGACATTCTTAATTTGATGAACTCACATAACATTGCATATACTTAACTGTTTGAAACAGCCGTATCTGAACAGTGAATTTCCCCAAAGACCGTAACTGTAATAACTTTGAAGTATTAGTCCACAAAACATGCTGCCTCTTATTGCACCCCTTTTCACTTGTTGCTGAATGAAAACATTGGCCACTTGCTAATCATAGTGATGGTTTACTCATTTCTAGGTGACAATTCGTTTGTTTTAGCTACAGCAGAGTACTGCACCCTGGGCCAAAATCACAGATGATAACCTCTAAAATGCAACTCTACCCTTGAGGTCAATCTTAACATATCAATCTAAAATCTAAATTTTTAAAATTAATGAATCAATTAAAAAAATACACACAGTTTAGTACAAAAGCATTAGCAAGTATTTTAGCTCTACTGCAAATGTCTTGAAGACATTGTGTAAGGGGCTGGTTAAACGTAAGTAACACACACACACAGAGACTCTTCTAAAAGACAATAATATTTATTTGGAATTGAGCATTAGAGTAAGAATACAATGAACATAGGGAGGTAAAAGAAGACAAGGGTTTTTAAAAGAAAAATGAAGAGGGTTACAAGACAATTATCTTTGGTTATAAGGACTGGTAACAAGGGCGGCACCAGTTGGAGGTTTCACAGGCAGTTGCTGGGCAAATGTCCTCGCAGAAGTAATTTTTTGTGAGATTGTGGCAGCCTTTGTGCAAAGTTGTGATTTGTGCAGTCTTTTGTTGTAGTTCTTGTTATCAGGCATACATGAATATAAACCCTCCCTTTCTGATCTTCCTTAGCTCCATTTTTCAGGGTTTTTATGCAAGTGGCCCCATTTTGATTCTGATAGCTTTCATAGAACAAATCTTTCTGATTTGTGAAAGACTTTCCAGTTTTACCCTTGAAAGCCTCAGGCCAGGTAAATTCTGTAGTCTCAGACAAAGAGAGATGGTTGGTGATATGGTTTGGCTGTGCCCCAACCCAAAATCTCACCTTGAATTATAATCCCCATAATCTCCATGATCCCCACGTATCAACGGAGAGACCAGATGGAGGTAATTGAATCCTTGGGGCAGTTTCCCCCATGCTGTTCTCATGATAGTGAGTGAGTTCTTATCTGATGATATTACAAGTGTTTAATAGTTCCTCCTGCATTCATTCTCCTTCCTGCCATCTTGTAAAGAAGGTGCCTTGCTTCTCTTCACCTTCAGCCATGATTGTAAGTTTCCTAGGCCTCCCCAGCCATGCTGAACTGTGAGTCAGTTAAACCTCTTTCCTTTATTAATTACCTAGTCTCCAGCAGCTCTTTATAGCAGTGTGGAAGAAGACTAATACACTTGGTCATTTAGAAAGATATACCATACAACCCAAAGCAAAATTTCCTAAATATTTTTTTATAACAGTAGTTCTTAAAGTGTGGCCCCTGTACCACAGCATTAGCATCACCTGGGAACCTGTTAGAAGTGCACATAATTAAGTCTTGCCTTAGACCTACTGAAAAAAAAAATTCTGATAGCAGAGGGAGCCAAGTAATACGTATTTTAACATTTATTTTGTAATCAGTTATGATTCCCTTAGATTCCCAGGTGGACCTGATGGACATGCAAGTTTGAGAATACTGCTGTCCTCTACATTTCCCTTGCTTTTCTGATCACTCATGCTGCTTTGTCCCCTGGCTTCTCCGATTCTTCATCTCCAGGCTTCACCCTACCAAGAAACAAAGTTCATTGCCAATGAACATATGTTCCTCCACAGCAGCTGAAGAGGAGCTTAAATACTTACAATTTAATGATTTTTAGTTACATATATTTATATTCAGATGGATGTCTTCTCTTTCAAAAAACTGTGTGAAGGGGAACTGTGCTTTTTGCTAAAATAAGTAGCTGAAACACCATAGTCCTACAGCCATTACTGCCAGTTCGGTAAGAAACATTCCAGGGAAAGAAACTTCATGAATTCCTTTTCCTTTAAACTACATAAAATTTAAGAGAATCATAAATTGATTATTAAATGAATTGGGCTACAATACCAATGAAATTACAGTACTATTAACCAAAGTAAAAAGTTAGAAGAGAAGACATTGAATTAATTTTACTTCTTAAATAATTTTACAGTTTGACACAGTACTATGATCTTACTAATTTTAAAATTTCATACATTAGAGTGAGATTTATGATACAATTGTTATTACTGAAAAGAGAGTGTATGTGAAATATCAAGGAGGGTTTCTGGTTAATTCCCTTTTGGCTTTAGAAGCAGAGTAAAACAAGTGGGCATCCTTAGGCTGGGCATTAGGTACCCTGCACTGGCGAAACGTTTGGCTACATTCAAAATACTACTCTTTCAATATGTGCATGATCTCAATTTAGTGAGAATGGAGATCAT